AAAAAAAAAAAAAAAAAATCCAGTAACATCCTTCAAAAAACTCAGCAAAATAACCAAAAAATCCAGCAAAACTGTCCAAATTTCTAATTTAATGAAATTTATTGGTATGTTTATTTGGGATCATACCATACATATGGGTTGACAATTTTGGAATGTTTTCTATTTTGAAATTATTCCTATTGCTTTGTCGTCCTTTGAATGCCCTTGATAGTTTATTTGGTTGCTTTATTTTCATAGCTTGATTTTTTTCTTCATAGGTTTGTCGCATTTTAGGTTTGGGTATTTTATATCCTACTTCAAACTGAGTTGTTCTTTGTGATTGTTCCGTGAAAGTGTAGATATATTTTTTATTAGTAATATCTATTATATCTCCCTTATTAATGAATCTTTTCTTCAAGTAATCTTGCTCATTGCTCTGTTTGGGACTTGATTGTGGTTTTTTCAGCAAAACTCAGATTGTTGGGACTATGTGGCATTTTTGAATTATATTATTGAAAATTAATTAAAATAGTTAGTTAAAATAGATAGCGTGGTTATAGTGAATTTTAAAAAGTAGGTAGTTAAAATAGAGATTTAATATTTAAATATATTTTGAATAATTATTTTAGATAGTGTGGTTGTAGATACTCTAAGAGCATATTTAACCTTTATCTTTTTTTAAACTCAAATTTAAATTTAGATAAAAAAATTTTAAAAATTTTCTCCAATTGTAAACTCATACCCATATCAAATTAATTGAAATTCATTTTTTTTACTCCAATCTTTAATAATGAGATTTTACCATCCTTTAAAGATTTCATGGTCATATTTTATTCTCTATTAAATTTATACTTGTCATCATTTAAATTTGAATTTCTCTTTCTTTAAATTTGAGTTTTTTCATTGGAAATGTTTATACCAAAATAATTTTTTTTATATTTTTTTTACTCAAATTTGGATAAGAATTTGAGTTTTAATTGGAGATGGTCTAAGGGCATGTTTGGGTGATTTTAGAGTAACAGATTGGATTGATTTTCTCAAACCATTCCAAATCCAACCCCCACTTTTATGTA